ACTCAGAACTTAAAGGAAAGAAGGGGTTGGGGCACAGAAGGAGGGGAGACATGAACACTCTCACACATCAGACAGTATTTTTTTTTCTTTGTTCTCTTTGAAAAAATATGAAGATTCTGTAAGATTGCATCCTTTTTAACATCTCCAAGTAGTCTGATTGGTTAGCAACATTACATTTGTGTATCTTAGCCATGTGTAGATTATTTCCTTGATCCCCTTTAATCTCTCCTACTGCCTGTGAGGTAAGGTTTCCATAGTCTTTGTGGTGTTTGCTTCGTTAGGCAAGCTGAGACCCAGAGGAATTAAGTGACCATGCCCAAGGATACTCAGCTATTAGCAAGGCTAAATCCCAGGGCTAAGTCCTTGGGAGTGTCCTTTCTGTAACGTGACAACTGAGTTTAATTTTCAATCTCATTCAACCCAGCTCGATGATATTTGATAGACTTTTCAAAGACTGAGGGGTTGGGATCCTGGAACCTCCATTTTGTCAAGAAGTATGATACTGAGCAAGTTATAAACTGCCAATGAGTTAATGGCACCATGTGCTGGATCTAACCCCCCATACAACTAAATTATGGCTAGTGTAGGACTTTAAATACCTGGTGACACATAAACATGAAGGATTGCCATTGATGCATTATAGAAGGAATTCATGTGATTGATGAGCATATAGGATATATATTACACTGCATGTGCTGGAGACTTTGAGAGCTTTCCAAAGATAATGTTTTCTGAAAGATATATGTTTGAACTTGAACTCTGCCTGAGGACGTCTATTTCAAGACCAGAAGTTTGCTTTAAAAATAAATATAAAGCATTTTTCAAACTGATTAGGTAAGTATGTTGCAGAAGACTTGAAAGACCTTGGTTTTGGCTATCTCGGTAGATATATATGTACGTACTTCCATGGCATGGACCAGTGATAACAAGTCTCTAATTATGGTAAGCATAGGCAATGAGAAATAGATGCTGTTTTCCCTGGAGACTGCCTTGCTCTTTTTTTTCTTTTATTTTTAATATCTATATGAATAGGAATCAGTGTGTGCTGCTTCTCCTAATAGGGCATCGATCTGTATCTCCTAAGAGAGTTGCAGTTTTCTTTTTTAAGTAAAATGGATAAAATACAACTTTTTAAACTTCCTTTTTTCCATATCACTGTACCAAACTGACAGTATCCATAAAATAAGAGAACATACTACTGGGAGTCTATGGTATCTGAGGTGTGTGGTGTAGGCAGTTGTGGTCTGTGAACTTACTGGTAGACTGCATCTCCACTGTTGGCCTCTCTAAGCCCATTGGGGTTATTTCATTTGTTTATTGCTTTTATAGTCCTTTGATATCAGAGCTTCCTTCTTTAGTAATGCCTACTTCATAGAATTCCTTCTGAAAGGTCTTACTGCCTGGCGTTGGTATAAAATCAGGCCAGTTAGAAGAAAGCATTTTGGTGGGGCTGGTCGAGCACAAGACCCTGGTTTCAATCCCCAGTATTATGGGGTGGGGTGAGGATGGGAAATGAGAAAGAGTCAGGCTAGAAATTTCTACAGGAAGTAAGTGAAGATTGGTTTTGCTGTTTGTTGTTGTCTCCTGGCTAGGTGGAGGGTGGAGACGAACAAGCTTTGGCATTGCAACACACTCAGCTCTGAACACCGCTAACATGTATCTGGACCTCATCCTTTCCATTTCAGAAAAACATACACTGGACATGCAGCAGATTTTGGTGATAAAAAACATTCAAAGTCCTTCCTTCTGGCCTTTTTGAAATAAGTTACATATTATCTATAATCACCATACTCTACAAAACATCTGAATTCATGCCACCAACCTGTTGTACCTGTTGTCGGGGCCTTCCTCACTCCCCTCCCCAGCCTCTGGTAGCCACTGTTTCATTCCCAGCTTCTGAGACCATTCCTTAGGGTCCATAGCTGACTGAACTCATACTGTGGTTTATATGAGCCTGGCTTGTCTTACTCAGCAAATGACTCTACGTCCACCTGTTATTACAAATGACAGAATGTCGTTATTTTTTATGTGTATATACCTTATTTTATTTATCCAGTCAACAAGAAATATAATTTGCATTTCCTGTGGTCATGCAGTGAGCTTTCGAGGTCATATAGTGACTCTGATTTTCGTTATTTGAGGCTGCTGTCCGTTGTCTTCCACAAGCCTGTGCTCCTCTATATTCCCACCAACAGTGTGCATGAGGTTCTTTTTTTGCATGCTCTCACCAGCACTTTGCTTTTTGTAACAGCTCTCCTTTTTTTCTATGATTTATTTTTGCTACTTTTTAATTATGTAGATGTGGGGGGTGAAGTGTGTACATGTAAGTGCAAGCACCCTCAGAGTCCAGGGGCATCTGATCGTCCTGGAGCTGAAGTTATATGTGGTTGCGATCTTCATGGCATGGGTGCTGGGAACAGAACTCAGGTCTTCTGCAAGAGCAATTAGTTCCTAACTGGTAAGCCATCCAGCCCCAGTAACAGCCATTGTAATATGAGGTCATATGGTTTTGATTTGCCTTTCCGTGTGTGTGTGTGTGTGTGTGTGTGTGTGTGTGTGTGTGTGTGTGTGTGTGTGTCCATCCCATTGTATGCCTTTTGCTAGTTATTTTTAATTGGGTTATTTGAGTTTTAGTTATTTTTGTCATTGTTATGGTTTTTTTTGGTTGGTTGGTTGGTTGCTATTATTTTTTATTTTGAATTTCTTATATATTCTCAATATTGGCCTCTTATCAGATGTGTAGTTTCAAATGTATCACCCATTGTTATCTCTTCAGTCTGTTGACTGTTTACTGTGTTGTACAGAAGTTGTTTAGTTTGATGTAATCTCATTTGTCTGTTTATGCTTTTGTTGCGGATCCCTTTGGAGTCTTATATGCATTTTTTTTTTCCTGTTCCAACATCCTAAAGCCTTTTCCCTGCCTTCTTCTGCTGGTTCTATAACCTCAGGTCATAACTTGAGGCCAAGTCTTAATTCATCTTAAGTTGATTTTGTAACTGGTGAGAGCACAAGGGTCAAGTTTCATTCTTGTGCATGTGTGCATGCAATTTCCCAGTGCCACGGTTGAAACCCTGGACCACTTGGAAGGGCTCCTGTGAACGCTGGAAGTGGTATACATAAAGTACTGAGCACAGCCTTGACTGTAGGCACCACGGCAAAGGGTGCTACCAGCAGTGGCCACTCAGCATAGGTCTGGCTGCCAAAACCCTGAAGACTTCACTATGTGACTGTTTATTCCTAATGAGCCACCCTCCAGTGAACCATCCTCAGCATATCCCGAGTCTGTTATGGAAGCGAGTTTAAGTCATGTTTCTTGCTCTCTTTCAGATCTGTAAGAGCAAAACTCAGGAATCTCAGCAGTATTACCATAGCTTGGCTGTCCGGCAGAGTCTGGCTGTGCATTTTAATATCCAGCAGGACTGTGGTCATTTCCTTGCTGAAGTCCCTAATCGTCTGCTTCCCTGGAAGGATCCTGATGCTCCTGAAAAGGCAGAGGATGAAACTGAAAACAGTGAGGAAGAGGTGAAAGCAGAAACTGCCAGGGGAAATCCCCAGCCCTGCTCTGAAACAGAGTCATCCCAGAAAGAGAACCAACAAGTCACGAACAGGAAACAGAGAAGCCACGTTGTAGTCATCACCAGAGAGGTTCCTCATCTCACTGTGGCTGACTTTGTGCGAGATTCCCTGGCCCATCATGGGAAGAGCCCTGACTTGTATGAGAGGCAAGTGTGTCTGCTACTCTTACAGCTATGTTCTGGCCTTGAGCATCTCAAGCCCTACCATGTCACTCACTGCGATCTGCGCCTAGAGAACTTGTTGCTTGTCCAGCACCAGCCTGGGGGAGCTGCCCACGGCCCTTCACCTACAGACCCTTGCCCCACCTCGGCTTGTCCCACAAGGCTCATTGTGAGCAACTTCTCTCAGGCCAAGCAGAAGAGCCATCTGGTGGATCCCCAGATCCTCCGAGACCAGTCCCGCCTTGCCCCAGAGATTATCACAGCCACCCAGTATAAAAAGTGTGATGAATTCCAGACAGGCATCCTCATCTATGAGATGCTACACCTGCCCAACCCTTTTGATGAGAACCCAGAGCTGAAGGAGAAGGAGTACACACGCACAGATCTGCCTCGAATCCCTCTCCGCTCCCCATACTCTTGGGGCCTGCAGCAGCTTGCTAGCTGCCTCCTAAATCCCAACCCTTCTGAACGCATCCTCATTTCTGACGCCAAAGGCATCCTCCAGTGTCTGCTCTGGGGCCCCCGGGAAGATCTCTTCCAAACCTTCACCACCTCTACAACCCTAGTACAGAAGAACGCCTTGCTCCAAAACTGGTTGGACATCAAGCGCACACTGCTGATGATCAAGTTTGCTGAGAAGTCCCTGGACAGAGAGGGGGGAATCAGCCTCGAGGATTGGCTTTGTGCTCAATATCTGGCTTTTGCCACTACAGACTCCCTGAGTTATATTGTAAAAATCCTGCAACACCGTTAATGTGGCCTGGACATTGTTCTTCTTATTAAATATTTCCACCTTCTTCATGTCGCCCTCATGTCCCTGTCCTAGTGCTCTCACTCAGAATTCAAGGAAAGGAGAGACGCTAATTTGCCGTCCTCGTCCGCGAGCAGAGGGAGCCATTCAGCAAGGTCATCCACAGCTTTGCACAGTGAGAAGCCGAATGTCTCCTTACTGTACAGAAATTCAACTGCACAACCGTGCAATCACCTTCCCTTGGAACATTTGTCATCTGAATAGCCCCACAAATACGGGGTCAAAAATGAAATGCACATTCATGAAGGACCAGCTCCAGTGGAGTGAACTTAGTAAGCAGTGTCCACCTCTTCCATAACTCTGACGCTTGCCTCTCCTAACTAGCTAGCAGTGCATGTCACCAATATCAGCTGTCATCCAGTAATGCTCACACAGCAGCTTCCTCTTCCTTAGAGTATCAATAACTGCCTCTTTCCCAGGAGGACATGCCATTTTGCTTAGTTTTAGTTACTGGCAACAGACAAGCCTTTGTTCTGGTATAAGGTGAAGGGGGAGGAGAGATTCCTGTCTGTTGGATCATGGGTCGTCCATTTCCATTTTTTGTTCTCAGTAAAGGTACCCTGCACAGAGAGCAGCCTGACAGCCGTAACCCCACTGCCACTGCTTGGCTGTCCTTTACCTTTACTCTGTCCCAGCCTGCTGAAGTCTGTGGCCCATTCCAGAGCTGACCAAAGGTGGTGTCACCAGTGCCTCAGCAGGATGGAATGCAGTTCAGATTTTATGAATAGTTGGCAGGACATGAGGAAATAATGTCCTTGTGTGTGCAATCCTCCAGGGGCCCTCAGGGAACAGACTTTAAAGTACTGTTCTTGACCACTGTCAGACCGATCAGCAGGGCAGCCGGGCTGGTGGTGCCTGAGTCAGTTTCCCCCACAAGCAGTAACTGGCCACCTCCCTTCCATCAGTAGCCAGTATTAACTACCCTGCCAAATGCTGTAGACAACATCTCTGAATTGAAATGGCTGTCCACTTAGCATTAACATCGCCTCAGAAAGCACCTCAAAGCTGGCTAGTTGAATGGCCAGAAGACAAGGGAGGAGGGGAAGGCCACTAAGATGGCTGACCTGCTCCTAAGGATGCCAGTCTCTTTCAGAAAGACTGCCTCCCAGAGTGAGTGCTCCTAAGACTTTGCAGTGGCCCTGGAGCTCAGCTCACAGGAAGGCTGATGGCTGCAGTGGATGGCTGAGAGCTGTTGCCGTGGGACCTGTGCTCTCCCATAATTATGTGCAATTTTTGTATGTATTTTTAATCTGTATATTACAGTGTTTATGTTGCAACTTTACCTGAGTGAGAACTACAGAAACCTTACTTCCCGTGGCACATACTTGCGCTAAGAAGCACCTGTGTGTTTCCACCTGTGTGTGTTTGTATGCTCATGCACTTGTTTTATTCAAAACTGTGAGTATCTGTTTACTTCAACCTTGAAATCCCAAGAGTCACTTGAATGGTGAGCGTATACACATGTGTGCCTGTGTGCACGCACATGCTGGAGATAGGGGCCAGGCCTCCAGGGAAGCAACCTGTGGCAGGGTTGACAGACATGTTCTCTATACCCTGCCAGTGCAGAACCCCGGGGAGCCCCTAATCCACCAGCGCAGGGTTGTCTTAAAGCCAAGACTGATTGTGCAGTATTACTTGGGTGGCACCTTAGTGGCCTTGGAAATTTCTAGACTTAACATTTTTAACAGCCTTTCATGTGATTCACCCTTATCAAAGAGGATCGAAAAAGGTGAATGTATTTTATTATGCATTTTTAAAGAGAATAATACGTGTGAGGCTGCATATGGAGAATGGCCTTGTGTTCCTGGCTAGGACTCCGAACTCCCAGGAAAGAGGGCTAGTTGGCTCACAGAGAGTCTTGTCTCTTCTAGATAGCATGACCATGGAGTTGGGCAGCCATGAGTCATGGCTGCATCACGCCTGGCAGGCTGGGGTTTGATTCCTCTTACGTAGCCCATGTGCACATAACTCCCTGCCTAATTATGCACTGAACTGGCAGCATAAAGACCATGGACCACATCAGCTGGCACAGCCCTTCACTTCCCACAATGTTTGCAAATGGAGACATACCTTCTCAATGTCGCTCTCATGGTGCCTTCCCGTGTAAATCTGAATGTTGACTATTTGATGAGGTTACATATTTAATGCAGAGTATTCCCTAGTCCCCTCTGTTTGTTCTGTCAGTAGTGGTTTCTTTCCTTTTGTTTTTCTTTTTTTTTTTTTCTTTTTTTTTCCCGTTACCTTGGATCCAGCCTTCTTTCACGATGCGGGAGAACACACACGCACACTTCCACTACCACTGTCTGACCACACTGCTAAACTGAGCGCTCTTCCTTCCATGTGTCTCTTACTGTCCACACTAGTGAAGGGCAAAAATGAAAGCCAGCTAACAAGAGAGCCTCGGGCTTCCCAGAGACGGTGGCTGTGTGACTTGTCTCTGGGGGATGGCTGCAGAATGTGAGGGGGAGGGAAGAGCGTGTCCTAGGTTTGGTCAGCACAGAGACGAGAACTGTATTTCTAGGCAGGAAGGGGGTGGTCCTCTGAGAATGTCTCAAAATAATGAAATCCAGTCAATATAACTTTACCACAGATACTTTATATTCCGATTTTAATCCATTCATTGACTAGAAGGAAACCCTACCCTTACATAAACACATATCGTATCACAACACACACACACACACACACACACACACACACACACACACACACACACACACACCTTTTATATATACATATATTATGAATTCTGGAGTGTCACTAGCGTAGTGCTTGAAGTTTTCACAAGTAACAGCTGTATTGACCAGATTTTTTTTTCTGTTCTATTAAAGTCTATGCCATAGATTCTTCCATTATGTTAAGAGTTTGAACAACTGAGCCCCTATTGGAGCTTTTCCTTTAGCCACATGAGCAATCTCAGCACATGTGGGTGCTAGAGAAACAGAGCTGTGGCTATAGCAGGCCAGAGTAAATGTCTCTCAGAGTGCCTTGTTAGCATAGTCATCTAGCCATGGGAAGAATTATTATTTCCTGGAAAGGCCTAGGCTACCAGCAGCCTCCTGTGCCACAGAGGAGAGCCCTTTGGGGATGTGTACACCCACAGAGTGTGCAAAAGTTCACCATAAGAGACAGCAGTTAAATGAGCAAACGAGCAACAAAACCTGTGGGAAAACAGCATGCGATTCATGAAAACCACCAACCCCAAAGCAGAGTTAGATTGGAAGGCAAAGCGATGGCAGTGGGTTTCAGGATTTGTTCTCAAGAGATGGTCTGGATGCGTCATTGGGGAACGTGCACTCGTACTCCCAAACTGCTAGTGCTGAGGGCCGAGAAGTACACCACTCAAGAGCTAGTCAGAGCAGCCTCCCATTGTAAGAAGTGCCAGTTCTGCCTCTGAGCTCAGGGTGTATTCATGAACATGGAAATCTAAACCTCCAGGAAGATCGATCTGTCTAAGAGTAAAAACTCCTGCTATCGCAAAGTTCCATGAAAGATCTTGAAGCCCAAGTAGTAGTAGGTCATGGAAGGCTAACACTCAGCTTTCCAAGTTTAATTTATCCAGTACTGGAAAATCACCAGACATTAGCTGGTGACCTGCAGTCAGGATTTTCCCTTAGCTTTTACCCAGAGTCATCTGAAAAGATACAGGCTAGTCTCAAAAGCTGGGATGGATTTTGGAGGCTTCATTATATTTGAAGTAATCGTGAGTATATAAAGCATACACACACTTGGAAACAGAACAAGAGGAACTCAGCCCCCTGGGCCAGCTCTGGCATGCTTGTCATTCCCCTCACTAGTGGATAAGGATTGAGATTCTGATCCAGCCTAATAAGTGAACAGGATGGCTGCCCATAAAACTGGGTTATTAGATTTACCTCATTGAAGCTCATATCCTCAAAGGCCCAAAGTGTTGCGCTGAGACAAACCCAAGTACCACTCCTGCTGAAGTGTACACTGAGGTCCATCTGCCCACACTCACAGCAGTGAATAGGTGGGGACACCATGGACCAAAACCAGTGCCCCAAAGGAAGTCCGAAGAGCCATAATGCAAGGTCCTAGACAGGTTATACCAAAGAAGCCAAGCCTTTTCACCTTGCTTCTTAGATGACGGGGTTGAACTGTGGCAGATGCCAGAGGAAGGGAGTTTGCACACATTTCATGACCAGGGTAATTCAACTGGTAAGTCCATCCTCAAAAAAGAAAAGGACAAAAAAAGTTCTATTATTTTCAGGCAGTCCATTGTGTACATAGGAAAAAGAAGGTGATTGTGGTGGTGGGAGTAAGGGGAGTGGCAGTAGCCGGAGCAGAGTGAAATTCTCTGGTATCTAAGAAGGAGGAACTCTTAACTAGCTTGCTCACCGTGACTGGCTATTGCCCAGACTGTCGGCATGGGGACACCATGACTGTAATATTGAAAGCTTGGGTTTGAGGTGATTTTTTTTTTCTTAAAAAGAAGGTGCTTTCAAAAGGTTTGTCTAAAGAACTCTTGGGAAATTTCTTAACACACTGTACCATCTTTATGAACCTTCCTGCGAAGGCAATTGTCATCAGCATTACCGTCACCTAATGTGTAAAAGTACCCAGACTGTCCAAGGTGCTACACAGCTGTCAAACACCTACCCCTGCAGCTGTTTTAAATTAGAGACCTCTGCATCAGCTGCCGCTGGAAATTTTGCCCACTTAGATGGGCTACAGGGGTGTGCATTCTGAATATTCTATATTACATTCCCTCTTCAAGAGCCTCTACATCTGTTCCTGCTTCCCACCCTACCCTACCCCCATGGTTTTTTTTTTTTTTTTTAAATCAGGAAAGTTTCAGGGAATTAATAGAGGTTGGGGTTTTTTTTTAAACCCAGCAGAATCAGAGTTATATATTTTGCTATGAACATTGTTATGGTACAGAAAATCCACTTTGCCCATTGGTTTGTGGCTAGTATGTGTGTCTGAACTCTTGGTGACTCAAATGTTGAGCCAACCCTATGGCTTCTGTGTAGTGTTGTTGAAAGATTAAACCACACAGCTTTAGGAAGCCCACTCAAATTGTTCCTTTCTTGCCCCCAATGCCTCACCAATTCTAGACAGTTGTGTGTGAACACACTGGGCTGGGTTTTCTGTTCATTATCTGGAGGGTGTTTTGTTGGGAGATAGACACAGAAGCAACATGTCACTTGTCCCAGTGATTTGGATCATGGCAGTCTTTACCTCTCTAATTCTCCACGACACTGCCCACACTCTGTATTGGAAAATCTTGTTTCTCTTCCTCCAGCGTTTTACCCCCATCCTTACACATTTTACAGTTGTATAAATTAATAACAAGGTCCCCTACGTCACCAGTGGCGCCGCCCTTTGGTTTGCTGTGGTACTTTGCTGTGTACTCTGTGGCCTCACGTTACTGTGTAAATAAATTCAGTTTAATATACAATAAAAAACAGACTTCAAGTGTATGTCATTCCAGTGACTTGTCCTTGGTGACACGCTGGTGTGGGTTTGGCTACAGATGTGGTTCTCTTGCTCATTCCCAAGATGGCTGCCTGTCCTTAAAACAGGCAAGGATAGATAGCCTTTAGCCAGCATGCCCTGTGTCCCAGCTCCATCTCTTACTGACACTTTTTTTCTTCAGTGTCTCTAATTTGAGAAAAGGAGAGCAAGTGGAGATGGCTGTCCGTTTGCTGGGTGAGATCGCCCCCTGGTGTCCATTCACTACAGGCTACCTGGTCAGAGAGGCTTGGCCTGCAAGCAAGCCGACTTGGCTGGCTCTTCAGTGAAGTCAGAGCTGTGCAGGAACAAGCCTATACATCTACAGAATTCACACACTCGAGGCCTGTTCCTTAAAGCACATTGTCACACAAGACATCCTTGCAAAGGCAGACAAGCTAATAGGCAGACAGGTCACAGAGCAGGCCACCTGGTTTCAGAAAAAGACAGCAGTCAGCAATGGCAGTGTCAGCTGCCATATTATTGAAGAAGTAGCATAGCTGAAAGTACAAACGTGTAGACTTTTAACCAAACTTAAGCTCTAACTTCCACCACTGCTGCCATGGTGGATGGTCTTCACAAAATGTTTATGCTTATCTCCACTTGCTAGAATCTGCTAACATTGTTCTTAAGGCTTAATCCAGAAAGGTAGCTGCCAGGCTTGGGTGTCATGCTGCTGGGGAACACACTTCATATGAATTGGGCTGCATCCAGGAGGAAGAGACAACTGACTACACATTGCCCAAGGACACAGGCTTTGTATACTGCATGGGCTTGGGGACGGGGGCATAGGTAGGCATTGGGTCCTGGAGGTCACAGAGAATGCTGTGCAAGGACTGGGACCTAACACCAATGCTACATGAATAGCCATCCCGGAGACCTGAAAGGACTCAGGGCCTGGAGGTAATAGGCCAGTCCACGTTGGCTTAACCTGAATCCAAGGAGGCAGAGGGTGATTGGAGGAGATGTGCCACTTAACACTTGTCATTAGCATTCCTGCAGAGTCTCTTTCCAACCCATGCTACAGAGAAGCTGATTTCTGTCCTACGTGGAATGCATGGGACCCTGCCGCTCTGAGGAGCCCACCAGCGTGCCCTCCGCTTTGCTGCCTGCTCTCTCCAGCCCCAGCCATGAGGCTTCCTTCGAAATGACCCTGCACTCCACAAGGGAAGGAGCTTCATTAGCACCTTAGGAGCCAGGAGCAGCAGTTGGTAGATCACAAGTTGTCATTAAAAGCAGCTCAAGGCAATTACAGCTAAAACTTAAAAATTGGATTTCACACTGGGCGGGGGCCTGGTTGCTAAGCTCTAACTCAAATGTGCAAAACTCTTTAAGAGGAAACAGGTTGTCTGAGCATGACAGGGCTTCTCAGAACACCAGATTACCCTCTGCTATATGCACTCACCGTCCAGTAATCAATGGCTCATTTGTTCTCTGGAAGGTGTGTGGAAGCTGCTGGCCATACCCAGGGACTTGGGGATGAAAAGATGGCTCCGCAGTTAAGAATGTTCTGGGGGGTGGCACACGCCTTTAATCCCAGCACTTGGGAGGCAGAGGCAGGTGGATCTCTGAGTTTGAAGCCAGCCTGGTCTACAGAGTGAGTTTCAGGACAGGCTCCAAAGCTACAGAGAAACCCTATCTCAGAGGGGGAAAAAATGTTCTCCAGCTAATATTATTCTTGCAGAGGACCAGAGTTCAGTTCCCAGCACCCATCATTGGTTCACAACTGCCTGTAACTCCATCTCCAGGAACACCCAC